TATTGATTGGCTGGATTTGCCTCAGGGTAACAAGACTATGGGTCCTTAAAAACCCGCTTCATCTTATTTTCCTTTGTGCAGCTACGTACAGTTGTGGTTATCTTTTCTCACTCACACAGCCCCCGGTATCTTTTCCTCTTTTTAAGCCTCCCCTGGTAATCAAAATAGAGAGGTTACCTTGAGATGAATACTCTTTAATTTATCACCAAGGCAAGAAAACTCGAGAATTTTTTATTTACTAGGCTGATTACATTTTAATGTTTGAAGAAAGTAACATTTTTTAATTAGTGCTTAAGACATATGGTGAGTGTATAAATTAGCTTATTTCATACAACCAGAATTTGATGAGAGCAACTCCTTCTCACTCCCCAATTAAAAATTGTCACTTGAAACTTAATATATGCGAGGAGGTTAAATGGTATTAGGTGATGCAGCCTTGACTTAAAGATGAAGGAGACAGTCCCTGTTGGATGAGGCTAAATGTTGCTTGGATGGGCTGGAAAAATACTCGTATCAACATCCGTGTTTGCAAGAGGATGTGGAAGTTCCAATGCTTGAGTTTGTTCAGCCAAGAAAACAAAATCCCAGGTATCTGTGTGCGTTCGTTTCTCTTTTGGGTATGCTGGAACGTACAGTGGTGCTTGCATGCTCTGTAAGTAATAAAATCCTCCTTAAAATCAGGCCCTATAATAATATAAGTGATGAGATTTATTTTTGTTCAGGTGTTTCTTTATCTTTTCAGCATCCCCCTCTATCAGCTGGGGCTTTCAACCAGGGACATTCTATTTGTTCCTGGCAGAGGAGCAGATTAATTGGAATAGAAATGTACAAAGGAGACACCAAGTTAGCTATACATCCAAAATAGTTCACCACAGCCATGTCCCACTTCGAGGCTGATCTGAGAGGAAAAGAACAGCAGTGGGGAGAGATATGTGATCCGTTGGCTCTTGTGGTTGTTTATAACTGTTTGTATAACTGTGTTTTTTGAAGAGATGCTTAGGATTTTTGTTGCGTGTTTTTTTTTGTTTTGTTTTCAGTGTCTTTGCTTTGAAGCTTTTGGTTATTTCCCATCATGAAAGACCATATCAAATAAACCTAATAGTTTATTCAGAAGAAAAGTTGCACCCTTAAACTCTTGTCTACATCTTATAGGTGCTTTGTCAATATGCATATTTTTGAATTGGGTTTTTATCACATGAGTCAATATTTTTCTCTTTTTTCTAAAGGAAAGTATTTCCATGGAGTGTTTGATTTTCCCCCTTGCTCAGCGTTGATTGGATTTTCCTTGTTCATCCTTTGCTGAATGAAACAAAGCTGGTGTGTGCCTCATTCTTCACAGTTCTTTTTAGAATTGGCGGGGGTATTTTGTTTTGTTTTCTTACTGTAAGTCTGGGGAAGGGATTTTATTAATTTATTTTGGCAAGATACAGAAAGAGAGAGAGAGAGAGAGACAAGACAAGGTGCCTATTAGAATGCTGGCATTTCTCATGTCACATCCTATACCCAAAAGCTATTTCAAAGGAAAAAAAAATCACGATCTTTCAGGATGGTTCATTTGAATCCGTGCACTCTACCCACCTGGTGGTTATATAGTGAACTGTTACTTTAAAGAGTAGTTTAAACACCAGCCATGTTTGGGGCAGGCTGCTCTTGCAAAGAGAGCAGTACATATAACAGGAGTCTACTGTGTGTGAGATAAGGGGAAAATTCAGCTCACTGACTAGAGGTTTTAATGTGCGAACTCTAGGGAAATAATATATTGACTGTTCCGTGGTGCGCAAGAAAATTGAAGAACCCTTTGCAGACGGAGTGCTTTGCAAAGGATTCTATCTGTTTCTCTTAAAACAAAATCTGTGGCAAGATGTTTGAAATCAGCAGGACGCTTAATGCTGCTTTGTTAAATAATGAGGTAATATTTTGTCACTTTTTTCTGGGCAGCATCTGTTTGGGGTTTTTGTTTTGTTTTTCCCCTTGCTTCATCCCCCCCAACCCCCCCTCCCCCCCATGTTTCTAAAGGATTCTTTTTCTTTCTTTCTTTCTCTCTCTCTCTCTTTTATTTTTCTCATGGAAGTCAAGGAAATACAATTCACGCTTCCATTTCTGTTCCTCCCTTTTGGTGCTTTTGGAGAATTTGGTTGTCTTTTTTATTTGCAGTTTCAGCCGGCTGCTGTTTCCTAGCCCATTGTGCCATGTAAGGCTTCTCCACTGCGCGGAGTAGGTAGTTATTAACGCTGAATTGGCTTCTGGTACAGTCCATCTGGACTCAGTGTGGGAAAGCTGGCTGCCGGCGACTGATGCTGAGATATCTGCAACCTTTGGGATGTGTGCATGGTGGTGAGGGGCTGACTGATATGAGATTACCTCTTTTAAGGGAAATTGTTATTAATGAGTCAAGAAACTGCTCATTTATGGTAAGAGGGATGCAGCCCCACAGCTCTGGGATATCATTTTTAGGTTGCCTTAGCTGCTTGGGTGAGACAAGTTTCTTTCTGTGGTGCTGGAGGATTGTGGCGGAAAAAAAAAAATCATGCATGACTGGGAGACTCGCCTGCCTGATTCTTGAGATAATAAATTGAGAATCTGTTGCTTTGCAAATGTCACACCACTGATGTAGCGGTCAGCCCCTCACTCTGAAAGATGAATGGTACTATTGGAAATGCAATAATAAGGTTGACTTTTCCCAACAATAGGATTCTGCCTTTGTCTTTAGAGAAAAGGCCTCTGAGGACATTTGTGCATTTGTTTGAGGATTCTGTTAAAAGACTCTAGAGTGGAGCTTTTGAGAGAAGTGATCAATATACAAAATGCATGGATATTTTAGCCTAGCAAAACCAACTAATTATTTATACTTGTAATGTAGAGTTCCTATTCCGGAAAAGTGGCCTGTCTCTTTTGGTACACCTCATGTTAATTTATGGGTCACTGAGTGTACCCAGATTAGTATAGATAGGAGAAAAGGGTTTTAAGAAATTGCGACTATTATAACCTGCAGAGAAATACAAAGTAAATATTTTGTTCCAAGTGAGCTGTTTTTATTTGTGTTTGTCAGCATGGTGTTCGTGTTTACTTTTCACAATATTTTGATGTCGGTGAAATCCCACTCAGAGTTTCTGTTGTTGATTTGGGCACCTGTACCTGCCCTGTGTATGTATGGTGAGCTCTTTAGAAGACTTAACCTATGAATCATCCTGAATACACAGTTCATTAGATACGTTAGTACTATTGTGACGTATTGGACTCTATACATTTGCTAAGGAAATTATTTTAAGTTTACTAAATTTAGTATTGTTCCACTTAAAGGGATTATATTTTAATATTTCCACTTTTCTCTTTCATGTAGTTTTGTTTCTAATAGCTGAACTTATTCATATTCAAATCTAATACTTTATATAGTGTACCCTACACATATTGTTTTATGGTGTATCTGTATTTTTAAAAGTGTGTGTATATATGTGAGTGTGTGTATGTGTGTGTGTTCATGACACAGTAGCTTGTAGAGAATAGTTTTCATTTTTTAAAAATGTAAAAGTTATTTCTTTTTAAACAAATTTTCACAGACCCATTTATTCTTGGACTTTGAAGTCCAGAGTATAGCGTGACTTTTGACCTGTATTTTCACTCTGCCCAGTCTCAACACACTGTCAACTCCAGCCAAAGATTATGTTGAATTCTGTCTTTAGTAATATTTGTTACCTCTGTGTATTTATTGAGGAATAAAATGATTAAGTTATGAATTAGATAAATAGGGATAAGTTAGTCTTTTGGACAGAAGTAGAGCACAAACTCCTCAGGTAAGCCACTTGAAAAAACCAAACCAGAACAAAATACTGTACTGCCGGAGGCTTGGTAGAGTAGAGGTTATGAATTGTATAAGATAGACAAACTGTATACATCTCCACACACTTGCTAAACGTCTCTTTGCAAGTCTTTTAAGAGGACACAGAAAAAGAAAAGAAAAGACATCATTTGAAGGAGAGAAGCAACATCACGTGTTCAGTTAAGCAAGATGAGCACTTGCACCAGTTATGAAATGAGATGGTTGTCAAATGCATGTTTCAACTTTATAGCGGTCAGGAAAGCAAAGAGAGGGTGCATTTGGATGGGTTTTTAAAAATTCAGATCATGCCTCTATCCAAGTTGAAAAAAATAAATTCATTTAAATAAATCATTCATCATTCTCTGTTTTGAAAAGCTCAGACAGAAGGC